GAACCTGGGGGGCACTGACCCGTTATGCCTGACGCTGCCTCAGCCAGAGTGCATCATGCTATCTTGACCAGGTAATGTTGGGCAGGGCCAGAGTGCTCCTGAGAGTACGTAGTTATTACAGAACTTTCTGTGTTATTTCAAAGAAGAAAGGAAGCCCCCAGGGTCTACTGTAATACCCTGCCCCACACCGGGAGCCTAGCAGGTGGAAATCGGCACCATGTTTTCAGGTCTCCTCAGCAGTGAGCAGGGGATGTGCGGGGCTGGAGGGAGCACCTGAGGTTAGTCTTATTCCGCATTCTCTACCAGCCTCTCCCCAAAGAAGTCTGGTTTGAGCACCGCCTCAGGGCTTGAGTAACCCTGTATTTTGGCAAGGCAGGTCCCAGCCCTCCATGTAAATGTGTTTGAGATACAGCTTTGGGGACAGCGGGAATTTGAACAAACTAAAACTCCTTTCTGTTCTTTCTTTGGTTGATGAGGACAGAGATCACTTCCGCGAACCCTGTCCCGAGCCTAGTAATGCCATCAGAGCATTAGCCCATTTTCACCACAAGCCTTTATAGGGCGACTAAGCCTGTCTGACAGGCAGCGGTGGCCTAGAGTGGCATGTCTCTCTTTTCTCTCATGCTTAATTGAGGGCCAGCCCTAGCCAGTGGAGATCTCATCTTTCAAATTGGTAGGGCAGCAGCAAGGAGATTCTCCAAGAAAAAACTGGAAAACCTCTCAAACTCCTTTGCTGACACACAGAGCGTTGAGTCCCTGGCAGCACTTTTGTATGGCCAGGAGGGTCAGGACATTGGCCAAACCTGTAGCAGAAGACAGGGGCAGCACGGCCACGGCTACACAGAGCCCCCAGCCTTCCAGAGCCCGGATTCTCGTTTTCCTATGGAGAGAGAGTACAGCGCTGTTGACTAACCACAAAACTTCAGGTTCAGACCTGTGTTCACACCTCAGCTCCACCAATGACTATGTGACCTCAGACGAGTCGTCTATTTCGTACCTCTGTTTCCTTAACAACAAAATGGCCCTTGGGTAGCACTCAATGGGCGGCGGCCATGATTAATATTATTGTGAAACTTGTTGTCCCATGGCCGCATTCTGATGCTTCTCATCTTATAGTTCAGAAATCTGGGGGGTTTTTTCTCACAATTACTCAGATTGCCTTTTCGCATCGCTGCCACCCACCATTCATTATTCTCAGGAAATTGGATAACGTCCACTGGCCAGAGTGTTATGCCTTTGGGTGCAGATTATTAAGATATCCCCTGGAGTGCCTGGGTGGCTCAGTCAGTTAGCGTCTGACTTCGGCTCAGGTCATGATCTCACGTGGGTTCGAGCCCCGCGTCGGGCTCTGTGCTGACAGCTCAGAGCCTGGAGCCTGTTTCAGATTCTGAGTCTCCCTCTCTCTGACTCTCCCCTGCTCATGCTGTCTCTCTCAGAAATAAATAAAACGTTAAAAATTTTAAAAAAAGATATCATCTATTTAAAATGTCATACTATCATATTAAGTATCAGTGGATAAAAACCAAAGCAAAGTTCAACAAACCCAAACGATCACTTGCAACACACAAGTGACACTTTGACTACAAGTTTCTCATTACACTCATTTAACCCTTAACTAATTCACCCCTGTGCCTGGGAGAAGCATTCCAGACGGCCACACCACGGCGTGTACTTTGCTTCTTCATTTTTACAAGTGTAGTTTAGTTTCCATTATTTGTGATAATTCCTAATAGCATATGTTATCCAAATAATGATGACCTAGTATTATGAGACCTTCCTGAAGATCACTGCTATTAAGTCTTGCCGAGAAGTAGGGCATGAGTGCCAGACTTTTTAAAATAAGAATTACAGGGTTACTGGGCTTAAAGCCAGGTATGGCAGGACCCAGCAGTTCAAGACAAATACATAAGACTGTTAAAGCCAGTGGAGGCTAGAGGCAGGTCTGAAGAAGGAAATTAGTGGACAGAACATATTGTTCAAGGGCTGGGTACCAAGAATCTCATAGAATTTCTGTGAAAGAAGCGCTTGCTGGGGCACCTGGGTGGCTCAGTCGGTTGAGCATCTGACCTCGGCTCATGTCATGGTCTCCTGGTTCGTGGGTTCGAGCCCCACGTCGGGCTCTGTGCTGACTGCCAGCTCAGAGCCTGGAGCCTGCTTCAGATTCTGTGTCTCCCTCGCTCTCTGACCCTCCTCTGCTCACACTGTCGCTCTCTCTCTCTCTCTGCCTCTCTCTCTCTCTCTTTCAGAAATAAATAAAAACATTTAAAAATTTAAAAAAAAGAAAGAAGGAAGTACTTGCATTAATTATGTACTGTGATTCCCCTAAAGTAAGGGTAAGAAGTCTTTGCCTAATCCAGATATATGCCTATACTAAATAACGAATGAAGAGGGGTGTGTGTGTGTGTGTGTGTATGTGTGTGTGTGCGAGCACGTGCACACACTTCCTCTAATTACACCCGGAAGATCAGAACAAAGGTGGAAAGTCAGAGGCACTGTGCCTGAGAACCTGCACCAATAAGCAGTGCTTTTAAAAGCCCAACCATGTGTGGAGTTTGGAATCTTGACCTGAATATTTCTCAGGATTCTATTGAAATATCCTCTTTGTCAGTAAGTTTCTCGTAGAGCTGAGAGAAGGAATTTAGAGGCATGGTTTTAGGCCACTTAGTATCCATCCACAATGGCTCCAGGTGAAAAGTGACCTGTGCTCACCTCTCCACTTTTTCCCTAAGAAAATAATCCGTGGCAAGGTCTTCTTGCCTGACTTCTGACCATGGGCCCACTAAACCCTCAAACTTGTGCCAGGCAGGTGGCAAATGATACAGTTTTTATTATTTTACTCCATGTGAACCTCCTAGTGTGCGGAGAGGTGATTAAAACCTTCTATGGCCTGATTTATTTTCATGCCGATTTGCGAGGCTGCCTTCGCATCTCTACATTCCTTATAATTTGGGCATTTATTACCTACTTTACAAGGCACTTATGTAATATGATATCAAACTTGAAAGTGGTTTTGTATACATAGAAACTCTATTAATAAAAATTACTAAGTAGTGCTATTTGTTTATAGTAAAAGGAGACTCACTTATACACAAGACGGAAGATTCCTTTATGCCCAGTGACTGAATTAGCAATCTGGAGGTTCATTTTTCTGGTTTAGCTCTCCGAGAGGCTGATTTCTGCAAAATCTTGTGGATAAACTTACCTGTTATTGACTTGTCCCTTCTGATCCTGGCATTTTTGGTTTGGACCCATGGAAGAGTCTCTACATGAGTTTTACAAAACTTACATCAAACTATGTTTTAAATTACTGTCCTGCAGGGTCTCCAGGGTGATTCAGTCGGTTATGTGTCTGGCTCTTGGTTTCGGCTCAGGTCATGATCTCTCAGTTCGTGGGTTCGAGCCCCACATTGGGCTCTACACTGACAGTGTGGAACCTGCGTGGGATTCTCTCTCTCCCCCTCACTCTGCCCCTCCCCAGCTCGCTCTCTCTGTCTCTCTCAAAAGAAGCAAATAAATTTTAAAAAATTAAAAAAAAAATCACTGTTCCACAGAATGTTGACCTGGCCAATGCAAGTGTTATGTTGACTGTGAGAACCATATGTAGGTATATCCCTCACTCCATTGATAAGCCAAATGGAATAAGAGTTTAGGTTGCCTCTCTCATACTGTATTCTTTCTCAAAGCACTTTTAACACCTCAAATTCTGTGAAAGAACTAGAACCTAAAATGATTGCTTCATTTGACTCTGTCCGCAAGCAATCCAAAGTGCCATCCTTACCCTGATCCCATTTCTGTTACAGAAATTAAATTAGCAAGATGTCCTGAGTGGATCCTACCTCAGCCCGTGGAGTGTAACCTTAGCCCAGCCGACCTGGGTGTGAGGCCCAGAGACACTGAATGAATGACTTCTCTCCTCCTCGCCTTCATTAAGTCGTCTTCACAAAGAAGGCGATGAAAACAGTGGTTCTCAGAGTTTAGCCCTCAGGCCAGCAGCATCAATCATGTGTTAGAAATGCAAGTTCTCAGGTCCCACGCCGGACCTACAGAATCTGAATGCCTGGGGTTGGGAGGCCCCTGTATCTGTGCCATTTGGATTCACCCGGAAGTTGGAGAATGACTGATGGAGAGAAATACTCCCACGCATGGCGGCTAGAAGGTATTTGCCACCAAAATTCCTTTTTAACTACAAACTTGCCCTGAGTCCAAGACCCTAGCATTTTCAAGGAATTCATATGAGGTTTTATTTATTTGTACATGTTTTTTATGATACTCAGCTAAATTATGCCTAATTCAAATCCAAAGTGAATTCAGCTTGACCTAGTCCCATTTTTTTAGTTTAAATGCCCGAGCAATATTTCCCTAACTCCCCCCACCCCTTTTTTTTCCTTCTCAGACCATTAAACATTCACCCGCTACTCCTCTGACTAATCCAACTCGTTTTCCATTCTCATAGGAAATAAAAATACAAAATTAAAGAAATAAATGACAGGGATATGTCAAAGACCACATACATGGTACCCATTACACCTTCCTGGTGTAAACTTTCCTGGACACACCCCCTCTGAATTTTAATTCTCAAAAAATATTCTAGCAATTGCTTTCACACAGGTAACATACATGTGTAATTATGTGTAATGCATAAAAATCAAGTATTTAATCCTTATGTGGTTTAGCCTTGATCAGAGCATTTGGGTTATTTGAGGAAACAAAGAATCTTATAAATGAGTATGATAATCCCATTTTTCTGACGAGGAAACTGGGGCACAGAAAGGCTGAATAGATAGAAACACTGGGCAAAGGTTCCTTTTGGTTAGCTTGAAATGAAAACCTCATAAAGTCAGATTTCCAATTCAAATACATTATAATCAAATAAATGATTACACTCTATCTCTTGTATTTATGAATAAAATTCAGGTTATTCGTGCGCACAGTGTGAGCTTTGAATGTAATCATTATTATCAGCGGCATTTACGAAGCAGCGAGATGGGATAAGCACTTACCTTTAGTCTATGGGAGTGACAAAGGAAGTACGAGGTTTTAATCTGTGATCTGGAAAAGCCTAAAGGAAAAGGGGGCGAATGAAAATTATATAAATGAAAACACACACAAGTGATATTCAAATTTCTTTCCCTTTTATGCAACCCTAGACGCCATGTATTCCACAGAGTATAGCCCCAAATAAGGAGGGAGGACTACCAACCCACGTCAGTGCTGACCTGAGAGAGAAATAAGACAGTATCGTATTAAACCTTTGCGGACTGGGATTTTTCTACTGCAGCACCTCATGTTAATTACCCTGACTAATTCAACCTGGAAATGTAAAGCTGCGCTATGCACCTGCACTTCCCCTCCAATTCACACTTCCCTCACCAGGAATGCCCCCTGCCACCTCCTTTGTCCATGTAACCGAATCCTAATCTTTTACAACCTAAGCCAAATGCCAAGTCATTCATTCTTTGGACAAATATTTCTGCACACCTAGTACGTATCAGGTGTGCATTCCTTCTTGAGGATTCCACTAAGACAGGCACACCCATGCCCTGATTTCACAGAGCTTATGCTACATCAGGGAAGAAAGAAAATCTAACAAGTAATTATACTCCAGTCCCCAAACAGAAGTAATTTCTTCCTCCTCTGAGCTCCGGCAGATTCTGATACACACTTAGCCTTTTCTACCCTGCAGGACTGTTGTGATTAGTAACATTGTCTCCCTTGCCTGCCAGGTGGTAAGCGCTTTGATGGTAGGGAATTTATTTTATTTAGTGGGAGGCTTCCACAGCCTTTTGCACGTGGGAGACTCTGTAAACAATTACTGAGGGCATAGATGGAAGGCTATGTGAGAGCCAATTGCTAGAATTATTTCTGAGAATTAAAACGCAGAAGGGGTGTGTCCAAGAAGGCTTTATGGTGCCTCTTCAGGAACGTCTGGTTGTGATCTAAGAATTGATAATTAATATTTTCCTCCAATGTGCCTGACACACAGGAAACACTTCATACATATATTAAGTGAATGAACTGAATGAATGGGTTATCCACTTTCTTATTGATCAACGGCTTTCCTGATTGAATGAATTCCTACCCTAAGGTATCTTCAGTAAATGAGTGAGACTTGCCACGCATTTTTATGGCAAATGAAGACATTTCTGAGCCCACAGAGCAGCTGGAGTATTTTTTTTTTTATCTTGAAAAAATCAATAGACTTACACTGTTCCTGGTCATTTAAACCAACTCAAATGTAATTTTTTCATTATAAAGTAAAACTCAGTTGGCAAAGTTAAGAAGGCTCTCGTTTAAAGTTTGGAGAAACTATATAAAATATGAATTGGTGGCTTTCTCAGGATTCTGCTAACCTAAAGTAATTTGCAGGATTGAAAGAAAGTATACCAACTTTCATAGTAATTTGATGAGTTCAATTTCCCCAAGCTTCTAACTTTTCATAAAAAAAACAAAATGGGGCGCCTGGGTGGCCCTCATCAGTTAAGCATCGACTCCTAATTTTGGCTCAGGTCATGATCTCATGTTTCCTGAGACTGAGCCCCGTGTGGGGCTCTCCATTAACGGTGAGGAGAGTGCTTGGGATCCTCTTTCTCGGCCCCTCTCTGATCATGCATTCTCTCTTTCTCAAAATAATACATAAATAATTAAAAAAGAAAACAATGGGAAAAACACCAAATGAGAACTAAAAGAAGAGAGGTGATTGTATTTTTATACTAAATTTAATTCCATTTTAGGAAAACAGTTGGCTAAAGTGTTTTATTAAAAAGTATAAGACGGTTGGGGAAATTATGTTTTTACTTTGCTTCCCACCATCCCTCACTTTTTTCTGTGGAGGCCCACCAAGGGTATGCCATCATTGTGTATCTGTTATATTTTCTTATATTCTTTTTTGTTGTTATTGTGCTAGCCACTATGTGATATTCTAGGGGAATATTTTAACCACCATATAACAATATCACTTGGGAATACTGGCTAAATAGTAGTTTGTATACACTGATTTCATATTTCTAAGCACTAATGTTTTTGCTTTTGAAACATGATCTTAAGTTTCTACAAGTGGTGATTAAATTATTAGGACTGGATTTGTCCTCAAATAGAAGTAAAGAGATTACCCTTACTCTATAATAATACTATTCAGTAAATACAAAATAGAAACTGCTGGGTTTTTTTTTTAAAAGCTCAAAAGAGGCCCAAGTGTAAGTTACATTAGTGAGAGGTACATAATGAAGCAAATGTAAGTGACAATAGAGGGAAGTACATGGTAATAGTAGTAACATATGCTAATGACTTGCACCTTTTAATTAATGGAGTTGTTTATCGGGCTCCAGACGGCCAGGCAGGAGTCTCTCCTATTATTTTTGGAGGCGTACAATCTTGCAAATTTAAAGTTGTTAGTTGTTACATATGGAACAGATCCAGCGAGCTCCATGTAATTCAGAAGAGACTTTCCAAGCCTGAAGATTCATTTAATTGTAGATGTTAATAAGATGTGTATTTTTACCCATGTCCTTGTCCACTTGGTCTCGTAAGTTGCTTGATTTCTAGGCCACTGTTGACATTGAAACTTGTGTTAATTTTGGTCATTCTCAATGACGTGACATGAAATCAGTTAGAACTATGCTGAGTGAATGTGTAGAAAACAAGTCAGCTCTTTCAAAATACTTATTTCTATAAATGAAGGAATTAACATAAATTGGGTTTTCTCCTATTGTGGTCTGTTAAAGTGAAGGTTTATTGAGTCCAACTAAACTCAAATCACTTCAATAGAAAATATGAAGAATGAAGGGATGAGTAAGAAACCTGGGTAGCCAAAATCAGGCATTTTGGTTTAGTAGAATAGATCCCAGAATCCCAGAATTTTTTTTTAAAGATGTTAAGTAATCTCTACACCCAACATGGGGCTTGAACTCATAATCCTGAGAACAAGAGTTTCATGTTCCACTGACTGAGCCAGACAGGCACCCCACATAATCCCAGAACTGTAAAGCTAGGAGACTTAAACAGTTCTTGTAAGTAGGACTTACAAGCCAGAGGCCATAGTGAAGTAATGACACATGTTCAAGGTTACCAGCTAATAACTCAGCTTGAAGCAAAGTCGGAGACCTACTTCCGGTCAAGGCATCTTTCACCCATCAGGCCTCCTCCTTTTAATATCTTGAGTGAAATCCCCATCTAATTGTTTTTCAAACTCTCTGCTAACAGAGCCATGGTTAACAACGGCATAGTCACTCAATGAAATATTATGCAGCCGTTAAAGATAATATTTACGGAGGCTGCACAATAACACAGAAAAGCGGCCAGAAGGTAACGATAAAAAAAAAAAGGAGCAGGAAATAAAGCTGTGTATGTTGTATAATGACAATTTTTTTAAGTTTATTTATTTTGAGAGAGAGGGGGAAGGAGACAACGCTCCTGAAAACAAGGGAGGGGCAGAGAGAGAGAGGGAGCGAGAGAATCCCAAGCAGGGTCCGCACGCTCACTGCAGAGCCTGACGTGGGGCTCGAACCGACGGACTGTAAGATCATGACCAGAGCCGAAATAAAGAGCCAGAGGCTCAACCGACAGAGCCACCCAGGCGCCCTGTGACAATGGTTTTTTAAAAAAGCCTTTAATTAGAAAAAAGAGTGGAAAAACATTGAAAGTGTTTTGTATTCATATTTGAACGGTAGGACTAGCGAGAAATATTTTCTCTTATTCCCAATTTCCAATACCTTCAACTTCCTTTTTAATGCTTCCTTTAAAAGCATTTCTTTATCCTGTTTTGTTTTTGGTTTTTTTTTTTTAGTGTTTATTTATTTTTGAGAGAGAGAGAGAGACAGCGTGTGAGTAAGGGAGGGGCAGAGAGACAGGGAGGCATAGAAATTAGAAGCAGGCTGCAGGCTCTGAGCTGTCAGCACAGAGCCTAATGCGGGACTCGAACCCATGAACAGAGAGGGATCATGACCTGAGCCGAAGTCTGATGCTTAACCAGCTGAGCCACCCAGGTGCCCCGCATATCCTGTTTTAAAGTGGAAAAGTAATAACTGTTCTACTAAGTTCAAAGGTGGCTTTTGCAGTGGGTCTAAGGATGTTTCCTGGAGCGGAACAAACACTCAAGCAGAGAGTACAAGCCATCCACTCAGGAAGCTAAAGGTGAGGGCCCTGGTGGGTTTTCTTTCACGGGGGAGGGGGGCAGGCCCAGGAGGCTAGAGAATGCCCCGTACCCCACACTCAGCCTGAGCCCTGGAAGAGAGGCAGGGCCAGAAGAAGGCATTTCTCCCAGAGGAGACGAACCCGGAACCAGAATCATCTCCCAGCACAGCAACTGGCAGCGAGGCTGCTGCTGCTGAGAAATGAGGGCCTGACTGAAAGAGGAACTCGTGTGCTCCCCGCATTGCTTGGTTACTCGTTTAAATCGTTATTATGAAACCTTCCGCAACAGGTCGGCTTTCACCATCGCTCTGCTTACACTGGGTCCAGAACACCTCTCCCTCCATCATGCCGTTCAGCCACCTCTACATCCCCTCCAGGCTGGATTCCCAGTGGCCTTTCAGCTGACCTCCTTGCTAACTGGCCACCTTCCCAGAGGCGCATGCTCCCATTTCTGTCCTAACAACATCACCGAGGCACCGTTCACAAGAAATGAACTGCACTTTTGTAAAATATGCATTTTGAAGAGTTTTCACAAATTTATAGACCCACGAAGTCACAACTGCCAATAAGACCCTACCTCTCCATCACTACAAAAGTTTCTTTGCGCCTCTTTGCTTTCCATCCCTTCTGGCTTCCCCCCAACACCTCTTACCATGTCCCTGGGCAAGCAGTCATCTGCTCTCTGTGATTATAGATGACCTTTCATTTTCCAAACACGTGTATCAGTGGAATAATACAGTATATACACTTTCGTATCTACTTCAGCTCCAAATAATGGCTTTGATATTCATTTGAGTTGTTAAAGACATCAGTAGATGGTTTCTTTTTATTGATCATTGGTATTTCATTGTTTATCTGTTCACCAGTTGATGGATATTGGGGTTGTTTCCATTTGGGGGGGTTTACAATAAAGTGGCTATGAAAGTCCAGCCCAAGTCTTTGTGTGGACATCTGTTTCCGTTTCTCTTGGGCAAATGTTAGGTAGGCACAGGTTTACACCTTTGAAGAAAATACCGTTTTCCATGTTATGTACCCAGGGCAGCGCATGACAGTTCCAGTGGACCACATCCTTGCCATCACTTGGTAGAGTCGGTCTTTAGCCACTCGGTGGGTCCACACAGGTACTTCATGGTGGGTCATGCATCCCATCCTGGGCTCCCTGTGAAGGAAAGGCCGGAGGAAGACTACCAGCACCTCTGCCACTCCAACTTTTCGAGTGGATGGTTTGTTCTTTGATTTGAGTGTTCGTTCTGCTCTAGAAACATCTTTAGACTCTCCATAGAAGGGCTTGGCTTCTGCCTGAAAATGATTCCAACTGCTTCTTTAGTAGAACTTCCTATTCCGTCCTAATCGTGAAGCAAGCCAGCACTCATTGAATTTTTACTGTATTCACTGGCTAGGGCTGCTGGAGGAAAACGGCACCCACGTGGTGGTTTGGCACGATGGAAATTCATTCTCTGATGGTTCCAGAGGTCAGCCATCCAAAGTCAAGGTGTGGGCAGGGCTGGTTCCTTCTGGGGGCTTCGAGGGAGAATCCGGTCTATGCCTTTCCTCGCTCTTTTCTGGGGGCTTCCACAGTCCTTGGTGCTCTGTGGCTCGTGACCACATCACTCCAATCCTGCCTCTCTCTTCACTTGGTCTTTCTCCTCTTGGGGGTCTCCTCTGTGTGTCTGTTGCAAACCTCCATCTGGCTCTCTTATGAGGACACTTGTCATAGGGTTTAGGGCCTACCTAGATAACCCACGATGATCTCGTCTCAAGATCCTGAATCATATCAGAAAATACCCTTTTTTCAGATAAGGTAACATCTGCCAACTCTAGGAATTTAACATGAATATCTTTCAAGGGATCACTTTTCAACCTCGCACACTTGCTAAGAACTAAGTACTGTGCTAGACTCTATGCCGACTATTTGATTTCCTCAAATAAAACCCCATGAAGTATTATTCCTATTTTTCAGTTAATGCAGTCTTAAAGGAGTGTCTTGTTCAAGGACAGTGCCAACTAGAGGTAGAACCAGTCCTCAAACCCAGTTTTTCCTGCCTCCCAGGTTGCCCTTAGCCTCTCTACCACAGGGATTTTAAAACCTCCAGAATGCTGAACGTCCCATCTAAAACGCGTTGAATTAAGTAGAGTCTTGGAGTTAGACCTACCAATTTCGTTCCATTATTGAATGTTCTAAATGGTCTTTGGCTCAGTTGTTCTTAATCCTGGCTACACAGCAGATTCACTTGGAGAGCTTTTTAGAAAAGACCGATGCCCAGTTCACCCCTGAACCATTAAGCCAAATTCTTTGGGGGTGAGGGGCTGTCTAGTTTTGGGGTAATCCTTCTGTATAACTGGGATGGAGGAGCCCTGGGATGCTTTACCAAACCTGCGGTTTCCATGATGTATAGTCCTCTGAGATAGCTTAATTCTGTTCAGTGATCAGAGGTGACCCTCAATCTCAAAGCTCAACTCCTGTTTCGCATGAATCCACCAAGTTCCTAGAAACTGCAAGATGACTGACCTAGATTATCAGCTCATTGGCTTATCAATTTAAGTTCTCTATATAGGAATGAGTGAATAATGAATGAATGAGTTTACTCCATAGATTTCCCCACTTTCTCTGGCTCTTTTGGTCAATCATCACCAAGGTGCTTCCTGAAGAGAGAGATCTTATAGACCTTTGTCTGTAGGGAGTTACATATCAAAACTACATCACCAAAAACTTCACACACAAAGACAAAATGAAAGACATCATTTCCATCAAAGGAACATGTAGTCAATTGTAATGTTTCTTCTTTACATTAAGAAAGGCATCTTATTTTCTTCTTTTGCATAATTAGAAGTGGCTGGGTGGATTTCATCTGATATCTTTCCTTACAGAAAAAAACTGCCTAAGGATTAAAAGCAAGCATGGAAAAATTTATCTCCAAAGTAAATATTTGGGAGATAGCTGTGGTACCTTAATATTTGCTCCTTTGAACACAGTAATTAAGGAATTTAGATACCTATGTTGATATACTTCAAATGTTCATTTGGAATAATCTTATTTTATGTTCTGTATTTGTCAGTGCGGTTCCCATGTGGTGTTGAACAGGACTCTGTGGACCTTTCTTCTACTTGATATTTCAGTATGATTTCCCTCCCCTGATGTACTTCAGCTAAGTCCCCACTTTTCAGGTATGTCTGTGAAAAACTTACTATGTGCTATGTTTTTGTGTTTACTCTCTTGTATTATAAAAGAGTCTGTTTGCATATTTTCCATAGAGAACGAAGGGCTGCTCAGGTCTGCTCTTAAGACTGACTTTTGTCTGTGTAATTTACACACTTTAGGAAGACACAGGAAGAGAAATTTGGTGTGATTGCCAAGTAATCTCTGCGTTTTTTCCAAACTGAAGTCTCTTTTGCAGAATACTCAACTGATAGTAGTAAGTTGTAATCAAATAAAATCAAATGTCTGAGTTTGGGTCCTGTCAAATGAAAGGGAGGGCCCTTCTGTGGAATAAGAAGAGCTCCTGCATAAAGAATCTCTCATGGGGGTGCCTGGGTGGCTTAGTCAGTTTAGTGTCAGACATCAGTTCAGGTCATGATCTCGTGGCTTGTGGGTTCGAGCCCCACATTGGGCTCTGTGCTGACAATGTGGAGCCTGCTTGAGATTCTCTCTCTTTCCCTCTCTCTCTGCCCCTCCCTCACTCGCACTTTCTCTCTCTCTCACAAGAATAAATAAATAAACTTAAACAAAATAAACACTCGTCTTTAAAAAAAAAAAAAAGCATGTGCCGTAGGTCTGTTCTCTGCCCAGATGCACAGAAAAATGGACCAAGGGTCCCGCATGGTAATCATACAATCTTACTCCCTAGTGCAGCTCCAGGGAATTTGATTAGGTGCCTGAAAACAATAGCTCCCTAGGGAACTACTTTCTGAAAAAATTATGCAAATTCATTTTTACCAGAAAGGATTCAGCAGGGACATTTCTTTAAATTTCCCCTCAGGGTTGTGCCTAGAGGGCAGACCTCACCTGTATGAATGGTTGGGAAGAGGAGTTCCCAGTTGGAGGCAGTTGGAGACTTGTTAAGAGAACCTGCAAGGTAACTCTGTCCTCAAATGCCCAATGGGTAGAGGGTGTGACCTGAAAAAAAAGTGAACACCTAATAATTTCCCATTTAGTCACGTAATAAGGACAGTTCCCACAGTCAGTCGGTTTGGCTTGTTTGAGCCATTGCAGAACTGATTGGAAAGCCACATACTCGACCTGATTTAGTTATTAAGAAGGCCAAAAGCAAGGGAAACAGACATTTCAGACACCAGGGATTTTGGCCAAATTTATTACTGAATCAGATGTCTAGATAAAGGTTCCAATGACTGTTAGGGCATCAGACTTTAAGTGCCCAGAAGTCACTAGTCAACCAGGCAAACTAGTGCAGTGACAGTCTTACTTGATCACAAACAATGGATATTTCTCCATTTTATTTGACTTTTAAAGTCAAACCCTCTTTAAGAGGGTTAGCCAACATCTACTACTCACTCATTTTAGGGAAACACATTGCTTCCAGGGAGCAAGAAATATTTATAAGACGTGGCCTTTGCTTTAGGGAATTTCACAGTCTTGATGAAGAACATGTCATTAGTTCATTGATAGAGCTTGAATAAGTCACAAAATCATGGGCAGAAAGATCTGTCTTTGGGAGTCCTGAAAGGAAGCAAAGCATCCGTGGAGAACAGGCACCAATGTCCTTCCACTCCTCCAGGAGGCCAGTGGCTAGATGTGACGGGCGGGTGAGGCGCCCCAAGTCTCACAGAGGATGAAAACAGAAGCCAGAATAATGGCACAGGGTAGGAACTTACTATATGTGTGCCAAATAATCATAATATTAAGCCACTGCTATAGGACTCTTTTAGTGAGCATCAAAATAGCCACTTACATTTATTTAAACAAAAAGGGAGGGGATGGAAAATGTATTAATGTTCCTGAAAAACTCAGAATTGCACTCAGGCTTTGCTGGATACTCTTAATACTCAGATCATAGTCTCTCATTTCTTAATGTTGAATATGACTCTTATTAGCATCAATTGGGTGTTTTGTAACATAAATTCTTGGAGTTGAAAAAGACTTTAGGGAATACTTGGTAACAATTCCAAATTCCTCTTTGTGTGTTGCTCTAAGGAGTAGAAGCTAAGCACAGCTCATTGAATCCATTTTGGGTCATGTCCCCATTCTTGAACCAATCACTGTGGGTAGGAGAGAGGAGATGTTTAGATTGGCTAGGCATGTTCATATGCCACTGCTGCCCTACATCCAGGGGGGGTTATGCAAGGAAGATATGAAAATACGGTCTGTGTCCAGAAGAAGAGGTCATGGATGTGAGGTCAGAATAAAAAATAAATCTCCATGATAAATACCATACACTGTGGCTTTACTAACGGTTGGGAGCCATGCAAAGAGCTTTATAAATGATAAAACATTTTATCTGCTCAACAATCCCATGAAGGTGGGATGATCATCAAAATATTTACACAGTCACCTGTGAATCAGAACAAATGTGGGAAGGCCCTGCGAACCGGAACCGAATCTGGAGACCCATACTGCATGGGGCCTTAACCCCTTATGTACTGGGTTAGGAGGACATCTGAAGAAGGGAAGTCTTATGGGAGAAGACAGCTGGGTGATGAGAAAGCACAGAGGGGTTGTGTGGGTAAAATCCCAGCTCCACTACTTACTGGCTGTGTGAACTTGGACCTGGCATTTAGATAAGCTGAGGGTTAGTTTCCTAATCTGTGACATGGGGGTTTAATAGCATCACCCTCATATGGCTGTTTTGAGGATTCATGAAACAATCCACGTAAAGGCTTAGCATAGTTTCTGGTATATTTTATACCAAGTGCTCTGAGAATAATCACGAAATGGGGAAATGTGAAGACCAAAGACCTGGTGACTGCTTCTTGGAAGAAATATTGCTTGGATGAATTTTGAAGGCTAAATTAGAATTGAATAGATGAAGGAGGGGGGGGAGCATTAAGGCAGGAAATGTCAGGTAAGGAAGCATCAGTAAAGTAAAGGAGCATAAGTAGAAGACAACAGACACCATGATGTTACCAGCATGCTGGCTACGAGGAAAGGAGTGATGACGTGGAGAGACAAATGATGACATGACATATGGGGCCTGTGAGACATGTTTTATGTCTCTCACTGGGTCTGTAGCAGGGCCCGGCACAATGCTTTGTGTGGGTGAGTGAGTGAGTGAGTGAATGAGTGAATGAATGAAACTCTATCTTATATTTGTAAAGCTGTGAGGGAGTGAGTAGTGGTGGTGGTGAAAATCTTTGCTGCCAACCCACCCACATTCCCATGGTAAAATGAGGCAGATTCTACAAAGATGCTGGGCAATCTTTGTGGCAATGAGGCTGAGAGAATGGTGACCATGGAAAGCTGTTAGAACCACACAGCTGGTGCAGGGGAAGAGGTAGTGTCTGTGCCCAGTGGGAGGTGGAGTTGGGAGGAAGAGCTATAGTCATGGGTGAGGACACAGATACTACCAGACATGAGTCCCTGAAGCAGGTAGGGAAAAGGAAGCTATACCTCCATTTCCCACTTTTCTGGCCCATCAGTCTTCTGATGATGCCTCCCACTGGTCAAACCAATTGGAGGTCAGCCCTCAAAGCAGCCCAAGAGGTTTTTCCCAAACAGGACAGAGAAGAAGAAGAGAGAATGGATAAAGATGAAAAGTGTCAAATGGAGAATAATTACCACAGACACGAAGATCATTAACAGATCCTAAGATGTGGTTTGTCTATTGTGAAGCCTGCTTACTGTGACTTAACTCCAAGTGACATGAATCCACATTTAAAAATGCTGTAATATGAAACTGGACCACTTTCTTTCACCACACACAAAAATAAACTCAAAATGGATTTAAGACCTAAATGTGAAACCGGAAACCGGAAAAATGCATGAAAAGAGCACAGGCAATAATTTATCTGACATCAGCCACAGCAACATTTTTCAGGTTATGTCTTCTGAGGCTCAGGGAAATAAAAGCAGAAATAAACTACTGGGACCTCACCAAGAGAAAAGGCTTCTGCTCAGCAGAGGAAATAATCAACAGAACTAAAAGGCAACCTAGTGAATGGCAGAAGATATCTACAAATGATATATCCAACGAAGGGTTAGTATCCAAAATATAGAAAGAATTGGTGCAACTCAATACCCCAAAACCAAATGATCTAATTAAAAATGGGCAGAAGGCATGAATAGGCATTTCTCTGAAGAAAACATACAGATGGCCAACAACAGATGATGCTCAACATCACTCATCAGGGAAACATAAACCAAAACTACAATGAGATATTACATCACAGTTGTCAGAAGGGCTAAAATAAAGAAACAACTGTTGGAGAAGATGTGGAGAGAAAGGAACCCTCCTGTGCTATTGTTAGGAATGCAAACTAGTGCAGCCACTGCGGAAAACAGTATGGAGATTCCTCAAAAAGTTAAAAATAGAACCCCACAATCCAGTAACCGCACTACTGGGTATTACCCAAAAAATACAAAACCACTAATTCAAAGGGATACATGCATCCCTATGTTTATTGCAGCATTATTCACAAAAGCCAAACTATGGAAGCAGCCCAAGTGTCTATCAATAGATGAATGGATAAAGAAGACATGGTATACATACACAATAGAATATTATTCAGCCATAAAAAAAGAATGAAATTTTGCCATTTGCAATGACACGGATGGAGCTAGAGAGTATTATGTTTTGCAAAATGATTCAGTCAGAGAAAGACAAATGACATATGATTTCACTCACAGGTGGAATTTAAGAACCAAATGAGCAAAGGAAAAAAGAGGGAGAGAGAGAGAAATCAAGAAACAGACTCTTAACTATAGAGAGCAAAGTGGGGTTGGGTGAAATAGGGAATAGGGATTAAAATGTACACTTACAATATAAAAAATAATAAATCAAATTAAATTTAAAATATCACAACATAATGATATATCATCAAAGATAAGAATCATAAGGGGACCTGAGTGGCTCAGTCGGTTAAGTGTCCAATTCTTGATTTTGGCTGAGGTCATGATCTCATCTTTGTGAGATGGAGCCCCTTGCCAGGTTCTGAGGCGACAGTGTAGGACCTGCCTGGGATTCTCTCTTTCTCTCTGCCCCTCTCCCACTTGTGTGTGTTCTCTCTCTCAAAATAAAAAATAAACTTAAAAAAAAAAAGAATCATATAAGTTATCGTGAAGGAAAGACAGATTACTTACAAAGTAAAAACAATTAAACTTAAAGTGGACTTTTCACCAAAGGAAGACTAGATGCCAAGAGACAATGATGAGGTAATACTTCTTAAATGATGAAGGGAAATTGCCATATATAATTCTATACCCAGATAAGCTATCATCAACAGTGGCAGAAGCACTAATATGGGGGTGGGGAGAGGATGGGAAAAATATTTCCCCCCAGATATATAACAAAAATGTTTACTACTGTAAATCTGTTTTGTCTACTATAATAAAATACTTCAGATGGGGTGGTTTTAACAAAACATTCATTTCTCAACGTTTTCATGAGATCAATATGCCAGGCACCTGGCTGGCTCAATCAGAAGGGCATGATGGGGGTCATGATTTTGAGCCCCATGTTGGACATAGAGATACTTTAAATTATTTTAATTAAAAAAAACTAATATGCCAGCTGATTCCAGTCCTGGAAGCCACTCTTTATGGCTTGCACGTGGCCCTATTCTTGCCATAGTCTCACATGGTGGCAGGAAGAGAAAGGATGTTCCCTGGTCTCTTCTGTTTTTTTCTTTTTAAGTTTATTTATTTTGAGAGAGAGAGAGAATGCGTGTGCATGTATGGGAGCATACGTGCAAGTTGGGGAGGGGAAGAGAGAGAGAGAGAGAGAGAGAGAGGGAGAGAGAGAGAGAGAGAGAGAGAATCCCAAGCAGGCTCCATACAGCCTTCCCATGTAAGACTGACATGGAGCTCAATGTCACCAATGGTGAGATCATGGCTTGAGCCAAAATCAAGGGTCAGAAGCTTACAACTGAGCCACACAAGTGCCCCATGACCAGGTGTTTTCTTTTTAACTTTTATTTGAGAATACTTTTAGACTTACAGAAAAG